TTTTAGAGCATGGCGGACACGCATACATATATTAAAAGAAAAAGCTTAATACTTCCAGAGATACAAAAATCTCTTTCAGAGCATGGCGGACAGGCGGAGCAAGTTTGGGCGAGCAGGGGAGGCTGCCAAGAGGGCAGCAGGAGCAGTTAGGCTTGTTGCAAAGTTTCATGTTTCAGCCTTTGCTTAATGTAGCTGGACAGGCACATAAACCTCAAAAGGTTGAAGAAATGGCCCATCATTTCATTCTCACAGCAAAATAAGGGTTCGGCTTCCCACTAACCCTCACTCTTCCTCTCAAAGATGAAGAAGCCCAAACTTCTTTCCCACGACGTTAGCTCAGGTCCGCTCATTTTCTCTAGGTATCAGTCACCACTGACTGATCGTGATGATCACGATCCTAGTGGTTACAGCTCAGCAGCTGCTCTGGGGCTCTACTGATTTTCTATGCAATTTCATCCACTGAAGTAACGTGGGATTTGGGGGGGGGTTGCTTGTTTTTAAACATTCCAGCAATGCCATCCTACTGCTTTCAGTTTCAATTGATGTTGCTAAAAAATAAACAGAAGTCCTGTAATACTTTTTTGATGCCAGTTATCAAAATTTAAAATTTTATAAGCCAAATTTAATCATTTTCTTGCATAAGGCTTTGGCCCAATGATAAACTCAAAATGTAAGGTTGAAATCTTAGCTCTGTGATTCTTAATCCCTATGAATAGTATATATTTCAATATATCAATCACCATCAAAATGAGAAACTTGCATCTATGCTTCTACTGGAAAGAGAAGGAAAGTGCAATCAATGTACTTTATTAAGCCATCTCCTTGTTTAACAAGTTGTTTTAGCTGTTGTAATCAAGCAGTGAGAATTAAGCTTTTTCTTTTAATGGAAAGTAATTTTTAAGACAGAAAAACATACACAAAGATTAAAACAGGCAAGGTAATTGAAAATGCTTGGATTTAAATTACACTGTTAGATTAGTTTGGAGCTTTTTTATTGCTGAGGCAGAAATAATATTGCTCATTACTCATACCTTCAATTATAAAAGTATCTGTTATTGTTTCAGGTCTTGTTCATAAATATGGAAAGCACAATGTACATCTACATGAGCTCAATTTTATATGCCAGCTATACAACAAGCTACTGGTTCATTTATTGATAATAATATACTTGCATAATTATACATAATACTAAAAACCTCATTACCCTTCTGCCAAGCCCACAGCAATGCACTCTTGAGCATCGTCTTTAAGCGATTGTTTCTAAAAACAACTGTTTTTCTTTTAAATATACACATGAAGAAGCTAATGAGAACACTAATGATAATTTTTACAAAGAACAGATGTGAAACCACCTTCAAAAACCTTTGTCAATACGCCTCAGATGTCGCCTGCAAATTCGTCACTTCCTGGTTACATTAGTGGCATTTGCAGTTTTATACAGCTGGTATTTACATAAGGTCACACAAGCTCGTCAGCCTAAAGAGATCTTCAATTGGAAGAGAACAAACCTGAAGTGACCACTCGCACTCCTCCACTCAGCTGTAAAGGTGGGTAGACCTCTTCCATTTGGAAGTCTTCAGTTTCAGGTGCCACACACAAAATGTGGCACATTCTCTTCTCAAAGCTGGTACAGCATACACCAGCTACACTTACCTATACAGGAACTGTTTTCTCTAGCATTCATAGGTGGAAAACTACATCAACTCTTCCAGTTTTGAAGAGGTGATTCCAAGCAGCTCATCCTCAAAGCTATTCAGGTGATGAGCAGCAGTCCTCAGTCATCCAGGGACAAAATTCCATTTTTAGACTTTTTCGGTAAGCTTGGGCAACCAACAAAAATTGTAATTTGGCTAATAGAGGTGTTACTAAAGTATACAACAAAGTTACGCTCTACTAATAAGGTACTATATATACTAAACTATTTTAAATTGAATCCTTTCATTGACAGGGAGTAAATCCCTATTCTTCTTTGCACAGAAACATATAGCTTCAAATTCTATACCAAAATATTTATATGGAAAGTGAAATTCTTCTCCTGACTTTTAGGTAAGATTTGAAGATTTTTAAAGATTGATTTTTCTTGTTTCTGGTGACCACTAAGGTCAACTGTAAGAAGTTTTGTCATTTATATTCACATTGCAAGCTTTCATATAAAATAAATTCTAATCTGAGACACTCAGAGAATATAATCATGGCCATGCTTCCTTTCAGAGACACTCTCCTTTCAGCTTTTAACTTATTACTGTAATGCATTTTGCAATGAGAGGTGCTACACAAAATTAAATTTCATTCTACTCTTTCAGGGTCAATGCTGAAACTGAACATCTTTGATAAGCTACTCTGATACTTCATCTGTATTCATTTCCCAGTGGAATCAACACCAGCCTGGCATCTCAACATTCACATTTTCTGAGAACTCTTTCAGATTAATATCTGTTCCCCCAATCTAATTATGACATCTTACTCAAAAGATTCATATTAGCTTTGAAATGGCCAAGACTGATTCATGACTATCACACAGTAGTTCTACAACATCACTTTTATGAAACAGATCAAGTTCAGCTCCCTTTAAGTTTGCTGTGCCTCAGTCCTTCAAACACGTGTGCTAGTGTACATGTGAATTTGCATGAATATTTCTACTGGTTTCAGCTTATTTCACATTATTGAATTAAACCATGTACAGGTGTTTGAAAAATCAAGCCAGAGATTACACAGATCCAGCTCAGTAATATCAATTATTTACCTAGACTGCATAGACAACCAGCCAAAAATTGTAGATTTAAATGGACAACTTTCATTTTTGCCTCTAAACATTCATGCTCTGTAATGAATGAGACCATTTTTTGACAAAGAGAACAAAGATTAGGTCACTGCGAGCATTCAGTTAAGAACTGTTGCATCATGCAAAGGCACAAGAATTCATTTGGGATTACATGGATTTTTGCCTCTAAACATTCATGCTCTGCAATGAATGAGACCGTTTTTTGACAAAGAGAACAAAGAGAAGGTCACTGTGAGCATTCAATTAAGAACTGTTGCATCACAGTCTTAAGCATTAAGCATCATCAGGCATCACTTATCTATCTGATCAACTCATAACTTTGCAATTACATAACAATCTCAAAATTATGAGTCCTATATCAGCTACAGAGCCATTAAGACATATTCCACAGAACGCTTACAGAGAGCTAAGCATCCCTCCCATTTTCCTGAACACCACTTTGGAGGACTGATCACCAATCAAAATGCTAAAATGTCACTTGAACCACATGCTAGAAATTTTTGGTGAACATATTTCTTCACGTTATTTCTCAATGAGTGATAAACACAGGTCTCAACACTGCAAGATCCTGCAAGACTTTCAACAAATACAATAATAATAAAAACACGTAACATCAACAGGGATGATCCCAAAAGCCTCTTGTTTAAAAACAAACAGTTAAGTGAGCTGAAGTGCATGAATTTTAGTCTGTGCCTATGTTTATGAAGGACAGCAACATGATAAAATACTACATGATTAAGTGTGTATTTACAAACACAGTTATAAATACTACTATTGAATGTAAAATCCAGTAGTTTGACATTTACACAATAGGTAAAAAAAAATACGTTTTAGAAAGAAATCTATTTTACATATCATTTCTCAAACAGTTCTGATGAACAGCTAAACACAGACACTGATAAAAGGACTGCAAATTGTATTCACGTTAAGCTATGCAAATAAGTCTACACTGACTGTTACATAAAATTAAATGTCAAGGCTTTCCTATGCTAATTCAGCTTGTAAGTTAGGGATAGAAGAATCACTGATTTGGAGAAAAGGAATTAGATTTGCATTAATGTTCTTATACCTGAGGTAGAAAAAATGTAATACACGCAACTGCTCTGCAGGCTGCTGTGGCTGAATCCACGCATTATTACAGTGCATCATTTCATGTAAATAGACAAGGTGAATAGTTTCTCCAGACAGGAAGTTGTGTGCTTTATCTTGTAAAATTTAAAGTATGCTCCCACGAAACACAGGCACACACATACACAAAAAGTAAGTAGGGACGTATAAAAACTAGAATATTTCTCATTTTAAGCAACAAATTTATAATCTCTGTGCTTAGCCTTATTGACTGTAACACAATACCAGATATTATATTGAAAATTTAACCTCCTCTAAATTCGTTTCTTTTAAACTACATGTTCTTGGGCCCATCTGTGAAAACAGGGAGGTTAATTATAATAGTCCATTGCATAATTCTGTAGCTAAATGCTGAAGTAGTTCTACATAAATACCATATGCTTGTCTTAGGAAAACTAAAAAAGATTAATTAGAAGTTCAAGCCCAAGACTCTGGAAAGTAACATTCTGAACACAAATAGATCATTACACTATGTACTCTGCAAATTGAAGTTTTAATTAGTAGCTAAAACACTGATCAGGGTGAACAAAAAAAAAGCCAATAACAAGTAGCTATTGGCAAGCAGAAGTATAAATTGTATGCGTCACGCATTTCCTACCGATGTTCCTTATAAAAAGACTTATTTCAGACATGATGCACAAGACAATTGCAACAAGAGTCATTTTAACTTGTCACACTCTTGTCTTGTCTTTAACTTGTCACAGAGGTAGAAACTACTGCTTAAGCATTTCGATCCAAATTTCTGTTTTTCTATTCTCCTCAACTAATTTAAAATTACCTACCACTAAGTAAAGTTTGCTTTAAAAAGCAAACTATAATCAAGAAGCAGAGGAGTGACCCAGCTTGAAGTGCCAGCTGAGTAAGAACCTTATAAAGCTCCGGCAGTCACTTCTCCACCTCTGAACCTGGCCTTGTCCAGCCAGCCTTCCACTTCTAGCATAGGGTATTACAAAGCATCACCTCTTACAGCCTCCACTCTCCTGGAGAAACAGAATGGTTATCTCAACCTGGTCACCGAAGGTAAGGAGAGCTTCTTCATGAACGTCAATACATTCCGGATCATATCCAGAATATTAATTACTTTACTCACCACATATTCAAATACAAGTGTCAAGGTCTCCTTGGTGTGAATGATGTCATGAAGCAGCACAATGTTAGCATGTTTCAATCCTTTCAAAAGAGAAGCTGAAAAGTAAAACATACATGTTATCTTAAAAAGATCAAAACATTTTCTATTAATTGGCATGTACTTTAGCTACTTGGAGAATTATTTGACATCTGAAATTTGTAAACTGACCAGCAATAGCTGTATGTAAGCCTCTTCTATGTCCATAAGCTTCTGTATTTTGAAAATCATGCCTTCCGAGCTAGTGCTATTTTATCAAACTTGGTCAAACTCAACCTCAGTTCAAGGCCAAAATGAGCTACGGACAGAGATGCTTCCCTTAAGGAGCCTCTGCTGAGTGAATCCATCATTAGCTTCTGACTTGAAACATCAGGTTCTTCTTTTAAACTCAGAGGTCATTTTTGCCTAAGATAAAAGTCATAGTGTTTTTCAATCCAACACAACAGAGCAGCTTTCTAGCCGAAGTACAACATCTATCCTGTGATATCCTATCTTTTTAAGCAGTAATTCCTCTTTCTCATAAACCAAAAGGCTCTTACAGGTTTCATGGAATCATTTGCATTCTGTGAGAATAAATGACCTCTGTTTTCTTACTGTATTTTTTTAAATGGTAACAGCTCACATTTTTCAGACTACTAACAAATAAGGATTTACTTTGTGAACCTCTGTGTGATCTCCTTCACTAAATTTCTTTTGCACCATAATACATATTTAATGTTCACACCATAATACATATTTAATGTTTCAAAAGATACGGCATATTTTAGCAATAAGTGCTGACAAGCCATGTGTGGTTACCAATGTCATTCTGTCACTGGTGCATTGTCATCTCATGCATACATCCGAGCAGGACTATCAGTCACTGAGCCACATAGTGAAGTAAATAATAGATACAAAGACATGCAAACAAGTGACATAGTGAATAATGTTTGAATATTAGTGAATATTTTTTGTGTTGTCCTTTTTTGTCTAAGAAAATAATGAAACACTAAATTGTCTCCACAACCTCTTAAGACAAAGGCTCTCTCTCCAGTGCTGTGCAAAATGGGAACTAAGGAAGCTCCTGGACACAACTATCCTCTGCAGTCCTGCAAACATTTGGTCAGTGCATCTCCAGTATTTTTTAACATTCTACAAATCAGGTAGAAGCTGTTTTCTGAAAGGAAGAACCATGCAAAGCTTTCACAGTATCCTCATCATAGAATCTGGAGATTTTCTAGGAGTAAAAACCCAGAGAAATACAGCTGTTTCTTTTAAACGGACATTAGTGAAAAAAAAGGTATATGAAAAAGAGGTATGGATACAAATCTCAGACAATTAGAACAACTATTCCAAAAGATGCCATCTACCAGGAACAAAATCTTTTAATCTGGGGAAACATGGGAAACAGTCCACACAAAGCAAGCTTTCCCTCAAATCTTTTCAAAAGACCATACTTGCAAGGAGACTTGAAACAGAAAAAAACCTCCACTTTCTGGTAGAGTTCTTTCAGAACTGTAACAGTATTTATGACCTCTGTCAGCCTTTGCTGTTCAGACCACTGCCTCAGGCCCTTTAATTCCTCTAGTTGGCCATTACTTTGTTGCTAAAATCTGTATATGGGTCATTAAAGCTTAAACAGTACACTGAAAGCTGCTTAGCCTGAGGTCTTTGCAAATACTGTCTTTCTTCTTCATTCCCCTCCCTGGCTCTTACCTCTTACTTATCTTCTCTAATAGCCAATTTTGCCTTCCAAAGCTCTTCCCCTTTCAATATTCAGTATCTACCACATATTACATGAACAACAAAACATCACCCAAGGGCTCACATCACTGTCTCCATTCTCTAGTAAACACTAGAGAATGCAAAATCTTCTTAATTGCACTAATTATACACTGTGGAAGCAAGAATCAATTCTGCTATCAATTCATGGTATGACAAATCCAGACTAAATGCTGACATAATAAAAATACTAAATATTGTTGAAAAAGCATTTCAACAAATCACAAAGGTGTAGAAAACATACCAGCATGCACTATAAGCTTGGTGTGTACTTCTAAAAACTAAATCATATAATGTTACTTCAATATTGTTGGAATTCTTCCTCTTCCCTCTCTGCATTACATGCAAGGTAAACAGATGGAGACATTTTTAATTCATTTCCCCAAAGAGCTTTGAGGAGGCACAGTAGCACATGATGCTAAAATGCTTTTTTTAAAACTCTTTGGACAAAATATTATATGCATCTGAATGGATACATGCTTGGTTTGTCAAATATGTTTGCACATTCTCTTAGAGAAAATTCTCACTATAAAAAAGAAGTAGAGGATTAGAGACATTCAACAGCTAACGACATCCCAGATGATTGTTTCTGTGACTGATATAAAAGTTCATGACCTGAGCCACTGAAAGTACCAACACTGAGCACTTCCCCATGAAGGGCTGATATCTATTTTTGCATACCTAGAAGAAACACATTGCATTTGCCTGAATAGGCACCACGGATTTCTCCCTCCAACCAGAAGATGTTGTCATTATTTGCATCTCTTAAGATCTCCTGACAAGCTGCCTTATTGCTTGCTTTGGTCAAGGAATTTTATGCTGTCCCCAGATGAACCAGGTTCTAACGTCCGTTCACAAAGAAGCCAACGCAGATGGACAGCAGCCAGCTCTCATCCGAAACCTCAGCAGCAAACAGTGCTTTGCCCTCTAAAGGATTCACAGCATCAGCTCAAGCTTGGCACTCCATGAGCAAAGCTGGGTGACTCTAAGACCAGCTTTGACTTCCCTCTGGTAGGCTTGGAGCGAGGCAGGAGCAGTATGGCACTCTCAAAAGGACCATTCAGACATGCCCATGATTTATCATTCCAAAGCTGTATGTCACAGTCAACAGATGTAACTATTCCTATCTACTCCCAAGCCATAGAAGGCAAGAAAAAAAAAAACATTTCAAACAGCACTAACAAAGATATTTCTCTTGGACATGGGAAGTACAGTAAGCTGTCACATTAATGATAATGTTTGAAACATCCGACCACAATTAATTCAGTCTTGCAATTCTCGACAGTTGTCTTGTTCTCACACACTGAAAAATCTCCACTGTGGCTGCAGCTGAAAGCATCATTCCCCCTCTCTAAATGGTCTGATATTTCAGCGGCCTTGAAACTTTTCACAGCAGGAAGAGCACTCAGCCCGCATGCTGCCAGGATCCACACCGATAAACAACTGCTGCTGCTGCTGCTTTTTTTCATTTTACCTATCACAAGGAAAGGCTGTGATTTTGTGATATTCTCATCATTCCTCCAGAAAATGCAGCTGTGAAAAAGTCTGTTTTCCTCTGTATATGGTACAGGTGCCCTACGGGGCTTATCACACACCAGTGAGCACCACCTCGGTGAAGGCCTTGCTGCGTCTCACATACTTTGTTCACTCTTTTTCACTATCCTTACTATTACTCTAAGAGGACATCTCTCACTAGGGGAGTTTTATTCTTGAAGATGGTGTATCATGCCAGTTTGCACCCGTCTGATATTGTTAATATAACCGCACATCTTGGCTACTCTGTTTAATTTCTCAAACATCAAACCGTGCAAGTTCTAGGCAATATTACCAGGAAAGTAATTGCTTGTGTTTTGGAGCCAAACAACAATCAATGTGTAGCAAAAAATCTCTAACCACCATTAACCAACTACCTGTAACCAACCTGAAACCAAAAAATCTGTAAAAATCCGTGGGTTGTCACATACTGTAGACATGCTGATGCTCTCTGACAGAGGGCCAGCCCCTTCTCATAACACTTGGGTTCAGCCTCTTTACTCTGAACTCTCCTACAAAAGCATTTTTAGTCTTTCAACTAAAGACAGTTTAGACTCGTTAGCAACATGAACATTTTTCCTCATTATGTCTTTCGAGAAGCATACCCAAATGTTTTTGGTTCCCTACATATATTACAAAAGTTCTGCACTTCTTCTCAGCAATTTGTATTTCAAACTACACACCTTTTATAGCAGTTTTTAAAATTTCTCCTCTGAGCAGGATGTTCCCTATGTTTCTCATCCAACTACTTCCCACACAGCAGGACTTTTTACCTGTAAATTTTTCTTCAAATTATTAGGCAGAGTCAGCAATTCAGCACTCTGCACTGTTTTTGCAGAAGGAACTGCAGAGATTTCCTCCTCAGAAATGCAGTACTTGGATCTACCTTCCAGTCCATCCACCTAAATAATTTACTAAGAACAAACAGCTTCGTTTTCCTGCAATGCTCATATGACAAGATTCAGTTTGAGAAAAACTCTACATCCTATGCAAGACCACACTGACCACAAACTTATCATGCTCTCACCACAGCATATATTCTGCAGAAAGATTATTTGCAATGTCCCAAGTAATGAATGGATTTTAGAGCTGATAAATGCACAGAATTAGTCGGCTTCCTCTCTTATATTAGCAGACACAATGCAATAAAGATACAAGTCACTGTTCAACTTTGACAGATTTTTATTAGAGAAATTTTTTAACAAATTTTAAAAGAATCTGTGGGCAACAGGAAAAACAGAAAAGGCAACAAATCTTTCCATTTGCTTATTACATTAAAAAAAGTGAATTAGCTTTTTTATAGCCCACTTCTACCTTATATGTCTTGTCTAGATTTTAATAAATGATCCTTATTCTAGCCTTCATTAAGTAATAATAATAATAATAGAACAAAAATAAATTGGCATTAAGAAACTGTGCAGTGCCTCAGCTCCTTGTAAGAAGCATTTGCTTTCAAACGCAGACTGTTTTGTTGAAAGGACCATAATATCACATTAGATGCACCTGCTCCTTAGGCTCAAATTCAGCCTGACACATCAGTGGGCTCATCTTTCAACAAAGTACATTTGAAAATCCTTCCTGGTGCTCCTACTTGGATGTATATTATATTATTAAGCAATAGAGAAAAAGAGCTTATATAACAACATACAGGCACCTTCAGAAGATTCTTCTCACTACATTTTTAGACCCCTAAGCAAGAGGTAAGCCACAAACTTGCCTAAAAGCTCTTCATCTGTTGAACGGGATGGTGCATTGGAAAGCCTGA